GGAATATATATATATATATATATATATATATATATATATATATACATACACATAATATACATAATATATATACATAATATATATATATAATATATATTATATATATATATATATATATATAAATATAATACAGAATATTTATTTGACATTCTGCATGCTGGGGATTTAATATGATTTTACATAAATTAAAATAAACAAAAATGTAATAAGAATAATTTCTAAACAAGAAAAAATCGTGCCCAAATTTTTAAACATAATAATAGAACCATCTATAAAATTTGTTTTACATTTTTGGTAATACTTTAAGATGTGACATATATATTCTTAATCGAAGAATTCGCTATAAAAGTTGGATATATGTATATCAATAAAAGATAATTTAACGTTTTTAACATTTAAACAATAATTTAACGTTTTTAAGCAGTCGAATCTTAATCAGTTAGAAGCTTAGTCGTAATCTCGGCAAAGTAATTTCATGGGATGACAAGAATACGAACGATAATTTTTCAATCTCAGGCAAGCTCGCAGAAGCACCGCCAGAGAAACGTGAAAGAGCTGTGCTCCCGTTGAAGAGCAATGTCGCCGGATAATAAATCGATAATTCGTGTACGCGACTTCCGACCCTGGAAACAAGCGAGCCGAAGAAAAGAGAACCGCATATGTAAGCGACGAGCTTTTTTTAGAGCTCATTTGTCTTAAGAAACGGCCGATTGTCGTTCGATTATGCGGCGGAGTTAGATATCTCTTCGCGGCTTCGTCGTTTTGCGTTTTTGGACTGGATGATGGATGAGACCAGATGTTAAATTTCTTTCTTTATAATCCCGCGTTCGTTTGATGGATATTATTTGTCAGACATGCAATTTCTTGAAACTATTCTCTGAATCTCTGAATTGTTCTCACTCCAATTGTTCTCACATGTATATATTACTATTGTCTGTTTTGTTTATGAGTTGCTTGAAATGTTATTTTATTTATACGATACATATTTTATGAAATAAAACTTTTATCCTTATTGTTCAGAATGCTATTCTTAGATATAAAATATTTTCCATTATTTTCTATCACTTTGAATATCAAGAATCCGGAAGTTTTACGATAAACTATCTTTTTCGACTTTATACTTTACTCTTATTTTATTTAATAACCTTTAAACTACTCTCTCCGCGCCGCAGAAGCTATTTTTAATCTCATAAAGGCCTCATGTTCAGACAGATATTATTAACCCCCCGCTAGAAATAACAACAATCTGATTTTCAATTACTTTTTACGCACATACACGTGTGCATTTTAGTTTGCATTTCTGCCGGGTAAACTTAGAAATGCTTGAAAAGTACACTGAATTTTATCTCATTTGCGGATAGCGTAATTATGTTCAATTGTATATATACGGATTTTTAATCCTCGTTCAACAAACATCGGAACTCATTTCTGCGGATATTTGTTCTCTAATTATTTTCTCTCATTTCATCGATAGACAGCTGACAGACGTACGATGTTTGAACCTCATTCTATGATATCATATTATTTTATCCTCCTTTCATTGATGTGTTTTCTGCGTAATACTTTATTTCACGTGTCTACTATAGAAGAATGTTTGTAAAAAACATCGATCAAAAGCACTTACCCGTTAGTGCTCTCTTTTTCTTCCGAGTTTATGCCTCTATAGATGAATAATTCGATCGTCCTTAATTTGCAGAAAAATGAAGCTCGACTTGGACCGGGAGAAGGGCCTCGAGCTCTTCGGCAAGCTGATACGTACAAAGAACATTGAAAGTCTGCAGGGTGATCAGCCCAAAACCGGTCCCGAGCCACTTCATCCAGCCGACTCCAAGCAGAAATTACAGGTAAATAATAATGATAACAATATAATTGTTATAATTGTTACAATTCTACGACAGTATATAAATTTAATTTAGAATTTTATATTAGAATTCACTGAATCACTCAATACTTTTCAATATATGTTTTAACTTTGCTAATCTGTTCAAAACTATATGATCATACTGTTTAATCCATGCAATTAAAAAAATAAAAATTAAAAAGCAATTAACTCTCGTAGTCATATCTCTCGAGAATTTTATGTTGGTCACACAGAGGTCACAAAATGACCCCCCAACATTTTAATTGATCGCCATATTTTACAGCTTTTTTAAGATCATAAAAATTACTGAAATTACTTTAAACATTATACAGTATAAAAATGCAGTGGCTTTTTAAAGTTTTTAATTTTAACATATTTAAAAAAATCGCAAAGGCTGACGTCCAAGAAACAATATGCGATTAAAGGTGCAAAAAGGTTATTTTAAACTTTGGATAAATAACAGTTTAAGTCCCAATTTAAAAAAGATCTTAGAAATATAAAGCCTCACACCTTTTTGGGGTCCCCTGAATTCCAGGTGACCACGAAGGATTAAAAAATTTTAACAAATAGAAAATAAATTTTTACAGAAAGAAGATATTATTTTTAAAATAGATAAAGTCATCAAATACAAGAGAAAAAAAAAATTTTTTAAATAAAATATTAATGATGAAAATATAAATATGAGTAAATTACCTATAAATCCAATATAAGTAAATTTCTTATAAGATCATAAAAACATTTCCATTTTTAAATATTAATTAAAAGAAAATGAATTACATTTTGGATCAAATAGACCTGAACAGACCAGTAAGGTTAGAATACGAAATTGAAATCGTATTAGTGGAATTTGATTCTTCATATCTTTATTATAACAGATAGTTGTTTTATTTCCTCCAATTGCTTGCCAGAATTCTACACAAATGAGTAAAGAAAACCGGGAAAATGATATGAGGAGAGAGGTAACTAAAAATGAGTAATGAGGCAGGCATTTAACAGCGTGCGTTGCTCCTAATTATTAATTACAGTGACGCGCTAACTTTTAGAACGGCGAAAATAAAAGACTCGTACGTGCCAGCTGATAGAAACTCGTAAGGAAAGCTTAACTTTTACGTTAACAAAGTTATAATTTTCGCAAATAATACTACGCAGTTAAAATCAATTTCGCGCTATATAAACAATGAAGGAGCATCGTCCTGCTTGTTTCAAATTTGCCCTAATAAGATAAAACAGCTTCCTCATTCTATTAAAATAAAGACGGCATCCATTAGGAAACATGATAAAGTTTTGTACACGAAATTGAGATATAAAAAGTAAATATGCATGGTACACGAAAAAATATATTATTGCAAAATTTGTCGTTTACGCGAACGAGTTTGCAGTGTCCTCTAGTTTCTCTAATTTCTCAACGAATCGTACAGGTTATATACTCTTTAAATTCTCCATATACATATATACTCTTTAAATTCTTTAAAGTGGAATCTCACTCTAAAGAATATAATTTAACCAATCTTGAAAAAGAGTGGCTCATTATATTTATTTATATATATATATATATATATATATATATATATATATATATAAAACTTTGTTATATATATTACTGTGGCGACAATACTGCACAATATATATATTGTCGCCGTAGTAATTTTGTTGCTTCGATAGCCCGTGTCTCACGTTAAAAAGAGAAAGACAACGGGAAACTTACGTATACCTCCAACGATGGCTGGGAGGGTCGTTGCAGAGTTGTTACCTCTCTTAGGGTGGACCTTTCTCACGGCTCCGCCGTAGTTGCAGCGCGCATAAACTGTCGCGAAGTTTCCCAATAACCGATCTACTTCTCACAGGAAAATAGCACAAGCCCGATACACATAGGTATGTACATATGTACTTATATACAGACACGAACTGCAGCTACTCTGGCTAAGACGCAAATTTTATCTAATGCGAAAGTAGCACGCGACAAGTTAGAATGGGGACCATTATCCGAGAGAATATGAGAAAGAGATAGCTTGTTATGCAATTATCATTGGAAACGGGAGAGTATCGATGATTTCTTTTTTCGGTTCTTGAATGATCGTTTTGTACCGATAAGAGAAGGTAAACGTCTCAGAGAAGTGACTGGACATACGTATTCCTATGTCTAGACATTTACACAAAACTTTATTTTTGTTTATATTATTAATAATTTCAAATGTTTCTTTAAATATAATATTATCATTTTTAATTACAATCTTTAAGTACAATTAAATAATAATATACTAACACAAAAAGGATTTGAGGAGAGATTAATAAAAATAAATTTTATGTTAAGTATCCGGACATAGGTACTTGCCCGGTCACTCTGAGACGTTTATCTTAATTGTCAGCTCTTTTTAATTTAGATTTCGACGATTCACTTTGTTGCATAATAGAAAAAAGAATTATGGAATATCTTCCAAAAATAATAAAATTGCTTCGGATTTTATTTCTTGCATTTTACTCGTACGTGCATATATATATTTTATTGACTTACGGTATCGAGTAATGCTTTATCATTGGTTTGCCCATCGGATCGTACGCGAATTTTATTGGATAAATGAAGATAAACAAATTGCATCGCTCGTTTCGTCATTCGCTAAATCCATCGTCTACCGCTTTTGCTGAAAGCGGTGTGCGCGGCCTCAGGAATTGCGAATGTAACGACGTTACACGTCCGGGACGACTATCTCGACCGATTTCCCGCGAGGGGACTTCCGGTATTTACTGCGCACACGTAATTCCAGTCCCGAGCAACCAGCATCCTCATTCGTTATTTAGCTTGCTCGTTTGGCATAAAAGACACACAGGATTGCGTAGAACCACGCAATGATGATCAAAATCCAAATGAGGAACATCCTACGATGAGCGATCGATTTGCGCTGCAGAATTAAACGGTGGTTTCGTGGTTTGTTATCCTTCTCTCTCCAAGTAATTAATTTTGATGGAATATAAATGACTAGCTGTTTTTTGATCCTTTCCAATTGATTCTTTTAACCTTAACTACACCAGAAAGAATGGTTTTGCTAAAGTATCTAAAAATTTAGCTCGATGCAGATCTGAAAATAATTTTGTTGATCCATCAAAATAATTATGCAGAACGTTTAAACGTTTATAATAATACTGCAACATTTTAACATTCCAGTAATTAGTTTAAACGCGCTACATAATTATTTTGATGATCCAAACAAAATTATATTTAGATCTGTATCTAGCTAAATTTTTAAATACTTCAGTAGAAACGTTCTTTTTATATTCAACTATAAAAACTACAGCTAAAGCTACTTCTAAAGCATCCTATGTTTGAAGTATAGAATTCAAATAAACTTCGATCTTGCTTGATAAAGGAAGATTCGAAGCTTTTTTTACTTACAATTTAGAACCTCATGATTAATTGTATAAGTATCATTGTACCAAACCATCTAAAATTTTCACTTTGAGTCTAAATTTCCGTTCCTGTCGAAAGTTAAATAAGGTTTAACAAGTCGAAACAATTCAAAACTTTGTTGAAGATACGTAACTTTAAAGTTTGACCAGTATTTTGATGGTACGAATTTTAAATTAATCACTTGATATTTGCGTTTCAATTTTTTTTCTGGAAAAAGATATGTCTGCTTTTCTCTCGTCTAAAGTTCCAAACGTCGTTAATATTTATGATTTAATCATAATAATTGAGGATTGAATAATATCCAAGATCGAACTTAAATAACGGTGATATATTTCCCTCAGGTATTTTTTTCGAAAACGCCATCAAAATTCCCGCGAGCATATAAATCAACGTTACGTTATGCATCAACGTCGCGTCGGACGAGTGTACCGGAAATAATTTACGCAGTATTTGCATTAATTCACGATATTGCACTCTTCGTACTTCAAACATCGCGACAATATGTCCAACGGATCAATGCCGAATGCTCTGCGAAACACGACGTTACTAATCGCGCAAACTACATTTTCCATCATTACCACACAATTATTTCTCAATGGAAATTGACTAATTGTAATGTTATACCGCGGACTAGATAATTCGATTCGCTGGTTATTGGAGACCTCGCAACTTTCGCAATTACGTATGACACGTGTGATATGCGATCCCGTCTACTGAGTGCAATGTTTGTTTTTAATTTATTCTCTTTTGATTTATTAGCAGTTACAAGAAATATTATTCTCTGTTTATTATGCATTGTATAAAATTACTTCTGCTGTCCTGTTTAAATTATTTTTGTGTTACAATGTAACCCGGACAAATTACTTTTAAACAAATAAGAACGATCCAACGCATGCGATTTTATAAATTATAATTTATAATAATAAACAAAAAGGAGCATAAAAACCCACGCAAGGTTTTATTCGTGGATTATTTTCTTCAATTTTTATTAAATATCCTCAGTACTGAGAATGTCATCTTAATAAAGGCCAAAACCTTTATGCGATATGTTTAATAAAGATTGAATAGAGTAATTCGCAAATAAGATTTTGCGTGGGTTTTATGCTCCTTTTTGTTTATTACTGTTTATCTAAAAATCGATCTAGTTATTATTGTATTATTTATAACTTCCATCCTCTATTATCTTAATCTTTACTTCAATCGAAAATGAAAATTGCGCAAAATAACAGATATTCTAGATAATCGAGATAAGGATTATACCTTATCTAAGTAGCTATCTAAATAGCTGAAGTTGTCGACTAAACCAGAGCTGAAACAGAGATCATTACTGCTCGTAATTGTTGACTGTTTGTACAAGAGACGATTGCATTTGATACAGTATCTCTAAGCTCACTTGTCGCGACCGCGTCTTGAATGATAATATGATGTGCAAAGCCGCTTGCTTCTTCGCTGCCGATTCGAGTCTCGCCGCTCGAATGACAAGATGACTATGTATATAGTACACAACAATATGCTACAGATAATGAAATATTTTTATCAGCCAACGACTTATGCCTGTTCTATAATAGGGTTGCAAAACTGTAAGCCGTTAAAAATTAAGAGCGGGAACACAGAATCTTGCATAACGCACAATGCATAAAAAATAAACCAATCAAAATTATTTATTTCCTTCCTTTCCACGAAAAAAAAGATTCTAATTGGTTTTCTTGTGTATACATTATAAGTTATGTAAGAATCTGCGCTTTTGCTTTAATCAATCATAGTCGATTATCTTTCTTATTTCGACTGTGACTGATTAATTTCTTACGGCTTATAATTCTATTATAGAATAGACATTATCGTTAGTAAATGCGTAATATAGCGT